CACGGTGATAAATACACTACCCATGATAAACCCTAACCCTAACCCATGAATTTAGCACGTGGGGGTGAAATTTCTATGGCGATACTGAACATTTATCATATAAAAGTCGAGTATTTTTAAGTTAGGAATGAATAATTATTTTTCCAAAAAGAGGCCGACAGTTTGTAGTAAATTAACTTAGCTTCAAAATGTCGGCTTCCTTTTTTTGGTATTACCTCTGTATCATATTCTATAACCTTTTAAAAATTATCAAATTCATTGCAGTCTTTAGGTAGCGTGCACTGTAGTTTCGTAACTAATACTGCACAATTCTAGCTTATATTTTAATATCTATTATTATCTTTAAAAGTTTTTATTCCTTACTATAAAATTAATTACAATAATGCTGCCTTTGAGTAGGGTTGGGGCATCAGAACATCAGGCAAATTTAGTTTATTATCGATATTCTTAATTTACTTTCTTTCTACTCTTCTAAATCAAATATTGAACTAACAGATCGTGAAGATTAAATATAAGACGAATGAGGTGTTGCGGATTTCGTTATATTTTCTATTAACAACTATTTACTATTTCTACTCAATATTCTAACAATAAGATATTGAATTATCAAAATTCTTATAAAATTGCTAATAATAATAAGCTATTTTGCGTTTGAAAATTATTATTTCAAATCAAGAAATATTATGTTAACCAATAAATTTATTTATAATAAGTAATCAATCAAAATAATAAAATCTCAATACGTATTTTAATAAAATAAATAAATAGAAAGAAAAAAATTAAAATATAATAATAAAACCACGAAATTTTTATTAGATATCAAAATTGGTTTCAAAATTTCTTGAGCTGATTTATACCCTTAAAGTGTTATAAGTACATTTTGATAAATTTAGAAAAAAAATTATAAATTACTGGTTCTTTTGAATCCTAAATAAATTAATCATTACAATTTTACAACGTAAATCAGCATACATATATTAAAGACTTACTAATCAACGTCAACTTGGTGAAATTTCATGGAACCCAGAACCTACCCCCGTACAAACAGCCCATTCTTCTAAAAATATTCTTAAGTTTTTGGCTTGAATAAATTGATTTTCATTTCTTTTCCTACGTCATTTATAAAATTGTTCTCTTACGTCGCTTAATTGGATTTAAATTACGGAATATTATTGTAATTTTTGGTCATCATGATATATTTTAGAAAAGGCTTATGACCTGCACATTAAACATTCCTAAACTATATGTATTTGAAATTTGACTATGTGATGAATCTTTAATTGATTGAACCAAGAATTCTATTAATATTCCAGAATGAAGATCTTGATGTAATGTAATTCATTTCATTTTAATTTTAGAATTTGCAAATTCCATTACCATAATATTTTTTAGAATTTAAGTAATAATTATGTAATTATGTAACATAAGTTATAATTAGGATAAATGATTAACCTATCTTTTAGATGAGAGATTTTCAGTGCGTACGATTATGTAGTACTTTGTAGTACTTTGTAGAACTCTTTAGTACTTTTAGTACTTTCTAGCTGGTGTTCTGTGTTTAACGATTTGTCCACGTGGGAGAGTATCTAAACTATTTTTGATATATATATTCAAATTAGTTGACTATTTACAGTTTGAATATAAATTACTGTATTTTAGTATATTCGAAACTTACAATAGACTATATCATAATATACTAGCATATTGTTTGCTGCGAAACTGCAAAACCAGTTGTCAGACAAGATTTTTCTCGATTCAGGTAATCTGTAAAAACACTCCGAAATAAATTTTTTTTTTTATGCTAAATTCATATGAAGATATTTTCTTAATAAAAAGCCACTACACAAAATTATCATCATAATGTTCTTTATAGCTATTTTAAAAACAAAAAGTTAATAAAGTTTAAACCAAATTTTAATTAACTGCATTTATCACGTGTCTTACCGGCTAAAAATTATGCCATTTAGCAATCCTAATTTTTTTTTCAAATGTTTGTGGTAATGAAGAAAAAGTAAAAAAGTATTTAATATATTTAATATCAAGTTGATCATTTGACCAATCTCTTTGCTCTTTATAAATATACTTCAAAAAAAAAACCCCCATTTTTTTTTCAAAAAATATTATATTCTACGTCATTATATTGTTATTTGATTATATGAAATAATCATGACGACAACAATAAGTATAAATACTTCAGAGGATTTGTTAAAAAGAAAAATTAGTATGTTTACAGGTGACGAAATTTTACAAGGGGGTCCAAACAATAAAATTCAGAAAACTGTCGAAATTCCTTTAGTAAACGAAGAAACCGATTTTGCATTTCCCTTTGAATACGACGACGACGACGTGGACGACGATATGGAAAACTTTGAAGATATAATAGATACTAGTGTCGTTAGTGTTGTTGATAATACTAACGATAATTATGATGACTATAATTATAACACCAACACTAAGGATAACAACGACAATACTAATAATAATAATAATTCAACGTCAAATCAACAACAAATAAAAGAACCAAACGAACCACAACACTTAACGCAAGCAGCCCCACAAAGAAAAAAACCAGGTCGAAAACCAAATCCTGCTTCTCCTGCTTTACGTAAAGCTCAAAATAGAGCTGCTCAAAGAGCTTTTAGAGAAAGAAAAGAACGTCACCTGAGGGATCTTGAAAATACGATTCAATCATTGCGTGCCTTTCAAACTGAAACTGTTAACAAGTTTCACCGTGAACGTGAACATTTACAGTCTTTGATAACACGTTTTGAAATAGAGAATAATTATTTTAAACAAATTGTTCTCAATTTTGAATGTGCTTTAAATTCCATTAATGGAAATAATGAAGCTACCACGAAGATTAAAAATTCGGTTATGCGTAACTTTGCTTCACTAAACGCTCTTAATAATAATAATAATCAAGTTTCCGTTTCCTCTCTGTCACCTATTCCACCTACTCAACAGCCACAACAGCCACAAACACCACAACAACAACTTCAACAATTACAACAACAACAACAACAATTACTTCAAGTTCCATCGATAAATTTAACTTTATCATCACCGACCAGCAGTTCAATCATGCCTTCACCTGAATCCGGTAATTTGTCTTCACCCGTTAGTTCACCACCAACAACTCCCGATTCATCATCATCTAATAAATCTAATAGACAATATCTTATAGATAATAATCTTTTGATAAATCCTCGTGATGTGAAATTTCCAATCTCTTCCTCGTCGTCAACGTCAAATGACGTTTCAAACATCATTTCTAACTTTTCTAGTAATATTACAACTTCTAACAATGATAATAACAATAATAATCTCATTTATCAAAATGGTGGTGATCAATCATTAGTGAAATCTTTTATCACTAATCCATTATTTTCCCAATATTCTAAATCCACAAATATCTACGATTCTTCCACCTCCAACAACAATAATAGTGAAAATAACAATAATCTACCAGATCCCAATAACCTGATTAATTTGAATTCCAATATTACCTTTGACACAACGTTCTTTTTCAATTCCAACGATTTTCAAGCAATTAATGATATTAAAAATATCAATTTTGGGAATTTAAATCTTTCTCCCACGAGACAACAAAGCATTATAGGAAATATGGGACCACGTGCATTAACAAGAGAAGAAAAACAATTAATAAAATTAGCTAATGTTATGGGATCTACAGATTATAGCGTTCCTCTTGAACCCATATTGAGACGTACATTAACGCCTCAACAAAAATATTTCTTGACATTACCACATGATCCTCGTATAGATTTTATTCCTTGTTTACATTTACGTTCAAGAATGATTCAATTTCAAGGATTTTATGATTTATATGAAATCATTGATTTACTACTTACTAAAGCTAAGTGTCATGGGGATCCAATTGATCCCGATTCATGGGAATGTCCGCAAGAATTCTTTGATCGATATCCATATTTGGCAATTCAGCATTGTCGTATAAAAGCCGCTTTATATCAAAAATACGGAAAATTACCATCAAATTTTAGTGAATATCAATTTGACGACGACGAATAGGTAATTTTAATATTTTTAAATTTTTATTTTTTTTTATTTTAATATTTTATTTCTTTTTTATTATTTTTTTATTGGAATATCTAATTAATATATTTTCTACTATAATTTTAATTACTCAGGCACGTACGCACGCTAATAATATTATAACATTATTTAGTGAATAATAATTATTATATTATAATATTATACCATTTTTATACAATATTTAGTGAATAATAATTATTATTTTATTTATGCAGAATATTGGGTTTTTTTCTAAATGTGGGAATTATAACATTATGCTATAGATATTTTATTCATATTATAACGTTATGCTAGAGATATTTTTATTCACATACATATATACACATATATATAAGGCTAATGTGTAGTTTGTTTCTTTTTATATATAAGCGCATTTTCAAAAAAAAAAAAATTTACTCATTTTGCATGAATACAATGAATTGGGAGGTGATTATGATAAATAGGGAGTGGGGTAAATAAGTTGACAATATGGGTAATGGGGCGTAGTAAGGCGATGGAAATACGTACGGTTAATAGATAGATATGATTCTGCAAAATCTGATATATATATATATATATTTATTTATATACAGCATATAACTATTTTTTATTGCTCACCAAAGAAAATAATTTTGTACATTTAATCTTTTTTTATTTTTTTTTTTCGTTATTTTTTATTTATTTTATTTAATTTTCTTATTTCATATTATATTACCACAATTTTTTTTTGGTATTTTGAAATTTTTTTTAATATGTTTTTGGATTAGACGGATTATATTTATTACATCATATTCACTTTTTTTTCAAGTGAATTCATTATATTTTTGTAACATATTTCCCCACTCTTTCTATTATCACTTTAAATTATCACTTTTATTATTGTCACTTAAAATTATCACTCACTTTATCATTCATGTAAAATTTACAATAAAAAAAAATTTACAAAAACCTTATTTTAAAAAGTGCGAATTTTTTCATTATTAACCAATCATTAACGAGAGTACTTACACATATTTATCGCAATAATGCATTTGACTTTTCACAACACAAACACAAAAGAAAAACAAATAAATTGAACCAATGGATTTTAAATTTCTAAAACTTCTTTGTTTTTAAGAATGCGATACAATCTATTCATTCTTCTAACTTCCATTTTATTATTTGAATGAATATATTTTATTTATTGATTTCTTTTTATGGAAAACAAGAGATTGTAATTGGTTTTTCTTTTGAACCCAAAAAAAATATAAATTCTACTTTAGGAAAAAATTGTACAACTTCATTGTGCGTACGTGATTTTTGTTTGAATGTGCGATTCAAAATATTTCAAAATGGAAAAATGAATTTTCGAATAAAAAAATTATTCCTGCTGCGGATAATTTTTTATTGGTTCGAAAATATATATAATATTAACAATCTTTCTATTTTTGGGTAAGAACCTCGGAAAATCAATTTTTTAATTTATTGCGGAGAAACATGTATTTAATACAAAGATATCCTTTTTTAAATTAAAATAAATACATATATATTAACATTCTACTAAAAAAGGAATTTCAATATATTATTATGTATTTAGTAATTTGAATATTTATGATAGAAATTAAAGAATATAATTTCTTCTTGACTATTTATAGTTATACTCGGGGAGGAAAAATTAATTAAATTTTAAATTAATTTATCTTTCTTCCATTCTCCTGATCAACTATTTGTTTTCACATCTTGTTTGTTACCATCACATAATTTATTTACCAAATGAATTTTATTTTTATTTTTAAATATATATATTTTTTTTTTTGGAAACCCATTTTTTCTTTTTAGAAATTCTGGAAATTCTTTTGGTGAAATTTCTTGGGCTTTTGGAAAATTTTCCAATATTATTACGCCGCCAAGAAATCGACTTCGTTTGAAGTACGACCTTTCATTGACATACAAATAAGTTCATTTTTAGTAAGTTAGAAAACATGCAACAAAAGGGATAAATCAAGAAATTCTATTTTGGAAAAAAATTATATTCCGTATGAACGATAACAATTATCATAAGCTTTTAGACTTATTTTCGGGATTTACCGAAACGAAAGACAAATTTTTGAATTTTGGGAATTTTTGTTGTTTTTATTATTATTATTATTATTATTATATTATTATTATTGTTGATGCTGTTTTTGTTGTTTATTATATTCTTTGGGTATGTCAGACGTAATGTCAGACGTGAGATTTCTTAAGAAAAAGAAAACAAAAAAATCGAAATCTCAAATAAATAATAAAATCGTGTCGTGTAATATAATGTGCATAAATGAATTAAACAGTTAATACTTACATCAGTCTTCACCTAAACAATATTTTTAGAAACCCTAAAATGTTAAACACTTAAAAGAGTAATTTTAGAACACAAGCCTAAAATTTATAAAATCAGTTAGATTAAATCAAAAAAAAACCCAATTTTGATTCAAAAGTACGGGTAGAAAAAATTTGTAAAAGATTTATTGAAGTCAATTTAAATATACTCTCAATGGTTTTATTATTAAAATAGTACCAGATAATACAAAGCCTTCTGGAGAACCTTGTTTAAGGCAAGAAAGGTATAAAGATGTAGTAATAGATTATAATAAAACATTAAAACGGCAAACAAATAATGCTCTTGCGTTAATATCACGTGAAATTTATTAAAAATTAAAAAAATATGATGATGCATTAATAGCTTTTAATAAATAAGAGCGTTAAAGATTACGAGGGGAAACTTATTCAAGTTTAGGATATAATGATGCACTAATGGATCATCAAAAACACTGTCACGTGATATTCGACATTTAGATACGCGGTGAAACTTATCAAGAGTTAGGAAGACATGATAAAGCATTAACAGATTTTAGTAACGCACTGAAAATACATTAAGATTACGAAGGGAAACGTATTTAAGATTTGATGAATATGACGATGCATTAATAGATTTTAATAAATTATTAAAAATAGAACTAGATAATGCAAGATTACGTGGGAGGAACTTACTGTATTTAAAGTTCGAAAAGTATGATGAAGATTAATAAATATAGATAAATCATTAGAAATATATTCAAATAATATCCTTACACTAAGATTACGAGGGGAAAATTATTTAAAGTTAGAAAAGTATTAACGAAGTATTAATAGATTTTGATAAAGTATTTGAAATAGAATCATCTAATCGTTATGCAACGAGGAGAAACTCATCTAAGATTAGAAAATATAAATGATTATGCATCGAGATAACGAGGGGAAACTTGTTTAAAGTTGCAATAAAAGAAAAGATTTTAATAAACTATTAGAAATAGATCCAAATAACGTTCTTGCATTACGGAGAAACGTATCAAAATTTAGAAAAGTATAATGCATTAATAGATTTTATTAAATCTAGATCAAAAGTTATAAAAGTATAATGAAGCATCAATGGATTTTGATAAAGTATTAGAAATAGATTCTTTATGTTTTTTTAGTATTTTCCTCGTAACTTAAATGCGAAAGTCAATAAAATATTAAAATAAATCCAGATGATATTTAAGTAACAATAGAAATAGTGAAAAGCAAGAACCAAACAATAACGATGATTTTGGTGTAGTAAATAAATAGTACTATTACTTCAACAAATTAGTATATGGAATAATGTATTACTTCAACAAATTAGTATATGGAATAATGCCTTATAGTCAAGCTTCTGATATATATATAGTTTTGGAATGTTAATGTGGGAATTTATATCGGTCATAGGTCTTTTTTAATAATATCTCATAATCAAGATCTCATAATCAAAATCTCATGTATAAAATCAGAGTTGGTTCAAGACTATAAGTTATTGATATTCTATTGCAGTTTAGTGATTTAATGGAGATATGTTGGATTCAAATCCAGTTAATAGACCAAATATAAGAGAACTTAGAGAGCAATTTTATAAATGATGTTGGGAAAAAATCAATTTATTCAAGCTGAAAACTTAAGAAATATTTTTGTGTTGAATTGAAAAGAATAAGAAGGAATTAATTATCACCCAGAAACTATTTATACAAGCAGACCTTTAAACCTAATGATTAAACTCTGTAAGTTTATGATGATTGATAAGTTCCCGATTTATTTTAATTTATATTATAAAAAATATAAATGAGTATTCTGACTTATAATTAACATTGAAATTTAATTCAGTGCAAAGAACCAGTTTTAGAAGGCAATTTATATTTTTTTCCTTGTCCTTTAAAATTACCAAACTAAATTATTGATACATACTTATAACATTTAATGTATTTATAAATATTATTGTTCCGATTATATTTGATTTTTTATTTCTTATCTATTTGTTTTTTGTAAAATAAATATTAAATATTTTGTACTTATTAACGATCGTGGTTTCAAAGGTCGCGGGAACCGATGAAATTATTATTTATTATAATATTTCATGTTAATTAATTATTTGAAATAAAAATTTAGTCACAAATAGCTTGTGAATTCAGCCATTTTATTTATTATTATAAAACTTAGTAATTAATTTCTTATATCTATTTAACTGAGTAGAGACAAAAATAGTAGTATATGTTAAATTAATTATGTTTGAGAAATGTAAAGTTTTCATGAACAAATATCACTTGTCTTACATTAATCTTCGCGATTAAATAATTTCTGTTGGTCCAATATATATAATATGCTTTGTTTTTTTTTTGTTTTGAAAGAGTGTAGAATGTTTGGCTGTAAGTCACAACCCAGGAATGATAAAAGTCGAACACATATTGTCACATCATAACTTAGTTGCCATGATGTCAGAGAAATTGTTGCTGCAATGCCTCGCCTAAAAAAATAAGAAAAAGTTATAAACAAAACATAAGTGTCAAATAAATCTTAAAGTTGTAATATCCGAAAACCAATTCTAAGCTCAGTGTTGTCATTGAACGGCTAAGGAAAGTATTTGACCAATAATTATCGGATATTTTATTTGTGTCCAATAATGAAATCCGAACTCCGTTGACACATTCATCTAA